TCCCCCCTCCCCCGCCAAATCTTGCATTACCTTTTGTTTTGAATTCCTTTGGCAACAGAAATTGAAAACAATGCTTGATATGCAAACTTTTGGAGGGCATACAAGGTGTACTATTGACTACTGACTATTTTCAAATCCCCCATAAAACACTCTGTTTGGCAAAAGTTCCCTAGTGGTGAGGAGATGGAGAGACTTGCTGTAGTTGCAGGTTATTTGCCTCCCAATTTTGCATGATATATTTTATTCGAAATCTCTTTGGAATATACAGTCCTCCAAGAGGCAAAAATGATAGTTTTTGCAAAATTGTTGGGGGAGAGGCAAACAGGTTGTATTATGGAGGATTTGGGGATAAATGATTGAAAGGTCATGTGGCAAGATATCCCAGGTACCTAAAGGTCACGGACGTCAGAAGCAATAAAGATTCTATATTTTAACCCCGCATGAAGAGGTCAACCTTTAGGAAACGTCTGTTAATAGTAACGTAAAGTTTAATTATAACTTAAACATTCAAGAAACTTTACTAGTTTCAAGAAGACCTCCCAAGCTTCACGTAATTTTCAAGGAACGTTGAATCAGCAACTCTAGTACTGAATCTGAGGGCAATTTAAATCTCCTCAGGAGTTCTGAACTCTCTTTTTCAAAAAACCTCTTCTCGTGGGTTTTCTCGAACTTTGAAGATGACAGTTTCATTTCTTTTCACTCCGGCTTTCTGGATTTTATTTTCACAGGAGTGAAGTGGGAAGGACCTCTAACAGCAAAATCACAACTGTAGAAATGTGTTCAAGAGATTTTTTACTTACATTACATTATTATTTTTTTTTTTACATCGTGTTGCACTGCAGTTAGCACTACGACCAGTTCTAAACTGGGAACCGAAACACAAAAGGGAACCTACTATGGCTGATACTTCTTTAAACTGATAAATTGTTGACTCGTTTGCTTGTCTGACTCGCAGTTAATACAAAGGTCGTGTTCCGTGTTATACGACGGCGACGGCAATGGCAACGCCAAAAAAAAGCAATTGGTTTGTTAAGCAAAACAACAACTTTGCACGTGCAGCACACTTTTTTGTACATTTCTCTACCGTGACTACACGACTACGACGTGAAAATGCCTGATTTCACACTTTATTGAGGACGTAAACAAGCAACGACGAATTTTTCTTTCTCTTTCTTAACTTGAGTGTGGTCCCCAAGAAACGACTTTGGGGACATTCGCCGCCTACATTTGACATTTTCAGCTGATTTGAATAAACGCGACAACGTTTGGAAAACGCAAATACCTTTTCAAAGTGACGTTTCATCTGCCGTCGCCGTCGTCGATGATAAAGCTCCTTATTTAATAGATCAGTCGGTAAGGTTCTTAACCAGCCACGACGACGAATTTCAGCACCCTTGTACTGCATCATTTAGGCACAAGCCATGTGGTACACAAGACTTACCGTAGGCACTGTATCAAGCAGCAATTAATATTGCATGTTGGCACTCCTGGTTGCTGGATGCTAGTCCATCGCAGGCTTACCCTTGGCAGTTTGTCCCCCGTAACTATTTATATACCTGGTTTAAAGAGAGACGTAGTGAAGCAAAGATTCTTGTCTAAGGCTTGAACCTGGACCTGTAGTTCCGGAGATCGAGTTATTAACCATTTGGCCACCGTACCTGCACAATTTACAGTCAGTTCAAACTGATGCGAACTAGGAGAGGAAAGCGTCGTGTGTTTTATTTCGATGTTTAGCCCCATTCTCTTGTGTCACTAATTATACATATATAATATATACATTTTGCCCTTGAGGTGCAGTTCCTTTGGTAAACTTATCTAGTAAACCTCCGCAATCTCCCTTCATTAAGTTTACATCAACCTGATGTAAGGACAAAACACACAAGAAATCTTAGCTGCGTTGGTTAGTGGGCTTAATAACCAGTAGTGGTGACTTGTATCCTGTCGGGATAGGAGAAATTCTCTGTGTTTGTAAATGGGAACAATTCTGAGGCGTCTCGGATCTGTTTCCGTCTTCCATGCTTCTTGAATGCTCCGAGTTTGGAAAAGTCTCTTCATTTGTTTCTAATTTTTCCTCCATGTCCTCCAGGACAATGGATTTTTTACGCTTTTTCTCGGGTTTTACTGACAACGACTCCGCTTGCACATTTCTTGCCCTTCGCGTGAAATCACCATTCGTTTCTTCATCTGATTGTGTTGCGGCATTTTCTGGTCTGTTTCTAGTTGATTTACTTTTCTTTGGTTTCTTTTTCTTTCTTTCTGTTTCTTCCGGAGCAACGGATTTTCTCCTAGTTGTTTCTGGCGCGACAAAATTCTCATTCAACTGCTTTATCATATCTTCCACATCTTCGTCCGAATTTTCGGAATCTTCATTTTTGCCTTTAGTTGCTACTTTTTTCTTTCTGCTTTTCTTCTTTTTCTTGTTTTCTGCATCTCCCGTGGCCGTGGTTACAGACGTGGATCGCCACATTTCTGGACTAGCTGGGATTGTGAAACCTTTTAGCTCTTCTTCTAGGTCGGATATATCATCTAGATCTTCAACGCTTTTCTTGTTATCCTTTTGTCTTTTTATTTTTTTCTTCTTCCTTTTGGTAGTTTCTCCATCCTTGGACTCTGGGTTCGTTGTTTTATTTTTTTCAGAACCTTTTGCCTTCCCCTCATTTATGACCAGTGACGATGCAATTTTAGTAGCTGAGCGAACGACCTCGCCTCCGTCAGTAAGTGTAGATCCTCTGCGTCCGCCATCTTGTGTTACCAATCTGTTGTCCTTCCCAGAGCTTTTTATATTGTTTCTATCAACATTAACTGACTTTCTGCGCCCCTGGCTTGCTAGAACGGTTAATCGATCATTCTTTTCCTCCGTCTTTTCAGAAACCTTAACTTCTTCGTCAGCAGAAATCTTAGACTTTCTCCGTGCGCTAGCGCTTGTAGATATCTTTTCTTTGATCCTTGAGGTCGATATTTCTCCATGACGAACCGTTGTACGATCGTCCGCTTTTATTTCATTTTCCTGCTTAATTGCTTTTGTGTTCTTTTCCCTTTTTGTGTACTTATCCTTGGGAATGGCAATCCTAATTTCATAATCTGTTGCTGAACTGGACTTTCGTTTGTCCGGGTCTCGTACATCCTGCAAGGTCGAAGACTTCATTTTCGTGTTAACTTCTGTCTCTGACAACCTTGGTGAATTTGCTTTTTCATCTGAAGGTGATATTGATGATCTACGAACTTTCCTTTCGGTATTTGAAGACGATAACAAGTTTCCACTTTTCTTTGGCTTTTCAGACGGTTGTTGTTTTGTCGTTTTGTCGTATTTCAATGGCAGAAAAGCTGTGTTCTCATCCGCATTTGAGCTTAAATCAGAAGACACGACAGATCCTTTACGTTCTTCACTAGTACGGATATTAAGCTCTGAGTGCAGATAACCATTAGCAAGCCTCTGAGAAGTAGATTTGTTTCTGTTTTTGTCACTGTACTTTGTTGCTTCGTTTTTGTTGTCACCTCTCGCGGAAGCAGTAGCATTATCCTTTATAAAGCCAGGATTTCCTATTCCATTAAACAATCGTGAGCTACCGCTGGAGTCTCGCAAAATGCGCTCGTCGTCACTGTTTAATATGTCACTCAAATTGTCATCATCTTCCATATTCATCTCGCTTGCACTGTCAATACTTCGTCTGTCCATGTCGGAGTCGACGTCATCGAGAATAAGTTTTGGCGGAGTCCGCTGCATGTGCAGTTCTGTTGGTGTGTACGCGGGCGCTAGTGATCTGCCTAACGAACCGTTAGCCTCGTTTTCACTTGGACGCAGGCTGGCGGAGGCACTTTGATGGGATCTTCCGTTAGCTGGCCAAAATACAGGTTAAAAAACAATAAATTAGCAAAAGTGTTTTGTTCCTCCGCTGTTCTGTTTCTTTAACATATCTTCTCGAAGGAATCCTTACTCAAGAGGAAAATATCAAGTGATTCTTTTAAAGAGGTAGCAAGCGATACTAAGTTTCTAACGTTTTATCAAGATGCAGTTGTTAACTCACGGAAAGGGATTTGCCTAATATAAAGGGGGACGCCAAACATCTGCTCGCGGTAAAACCAACAAACGTTTCAGTGCTGTACAATATGTAACTTGGGGTCTGTAATAAAATATACAGGCTCTTCGACGACAACGCCCCTGAAAGCATCAAAGTGCATTCGAAGCGAAATTTCGTGTTTCCAAAGTTTCCGCATTTTAGTAGTATTTTTTATGCACCTACCGATTGGTTTACTGTCATTTTCTTCCATTGCTTCCATGATCCGCTGTAGCTGTTGAACTTTCTTGTGATCCACGCGGTCACTGTTGATTGGAGTGAATTTCCTTCTGTAAAGAAGCCAGGAATGTTTCAAGAACTTCCAAAAGACGCACAGGAAAATCAATCCTAAGATACCCCCCAAAGCATAGAACAAAGGTTTCAAGTCAACTTCAATAGGTGGTAGCTCATTTGCAGGTGTCGAGGGTTGCTCAGTCGCCGGCGCCTTGTAAAGACTATATGATGATCCTTCGACGGCGGATAACATGAATGACGGGTGAATACTTCTTCCATCCCATAACGGGATGACAAGAGAATTGTTGGACAGGAGATGTCGAAGTAAACCCAGAGACGTCTCAAGTTTAGTAAGGTTTTTCCCTTGTACTGTAATGTTTGCAGCCAGACCAGTACAGGTCAGGTAGCTTGGTTCACGGTAGGAGTTTTGCGATTTTTGCTCGTTATTTTTCTTCGAGCTTTTCGGCCCCTTCATTCTTCCACCTACTAAGCGTTTTGCGCGATGATGAGCCTGGATGTTCTCTACGTCCACTCCGCAGTACGGCCAACGACCAGTTTTGCAAGCGACGTAGGCTGTGACTTGCACCAATGGAATTCTGGAAAGACTTGCTATTCCTTGCTCCAGAGAATCTCTTAATCGTTGGTCGTTGCCTGAATTCTGATCGCAGTCCCGTATAAACACAAGAATTACTTTGTAATACAACATTGGCACTGTGGTTGCTGGTGAGGCTGTGAAAAAAGAAAAAGAAAACGAGTTTCCACTTGCTACTATTTATGAAATAATTTATGCTAGTAGTGAATATTTCTGTGCTAGAATCCAGCTTTAGATCAACGAACCTCTCGTTTTCCATATCGTCCGTTTTTTAGGCCAAGTCGTGGCATATCAAGAATTGTTTAGCGTGGTAACGCTGCTAGCGAGCTCAGCGCAGCCACAACGATGACGGAAACGAGAAAAAAAGCAAAACTAAAACTCTGAACTACCCTGCGAGCGAAAGTTCTTCCTGGCATGGCTTTTGGCGACGCGAACGACTTGCTACAAGTATATGCTAAAAGCCATCCCGGAAAGAAATCTCTGCTCGCAGGGCAACTGTGAAAGTGCAGCACATTTTTTGGCGGGTTTCTTTGCCGTCATTGCACGTCCATTGTTTTTAAAAGTTGATTGAAATTGCAATGCGTTCGTCGCTTTAATTTTTAAGATCGTCGCTTCATAAATTTTGATCGTCGCGACTTTGATTTCGTAGGAAATCTCAATACAGAGGCTCATTAACGCCTTAGAATGGATTTTCACATTAGCAGAAATGACGCACAATACATTTTGTTCTACAGATGTATCTAGACCTTTAAGAAGCCATCTCTTTCAAGCGTCGTGCGAGTTCGCCCGCTGAATAAACGTAAGGTATATTGATCCTTGGGATATGATAAGTGAAGTACCAAGGATAAATATGTTCCTTCTGTATGCAGCATTTAGTGATTGGCATAATTCAAGTGCCCAAGTGAACTACTTTGCGTATTCAAAGAAATCAGTATAACCCCAAAAACTATTTATTGAGGATATGAAGCTTGCGTAGCCAATGCAATACTGTTACCTCAATTACTGGCGGCTTGCATTGGTTTTGACATTGAAACAAAGCGTAAGAGTTATTAATCCTCAGAGTGATGTATGCGGTGAACGAAATTACAATTAAGAAGGACTACTTGCCCACCAACCTGTGGTGCTAATGCACTTGTCGCAACAGTAGGTTGTATTTTGGGCACACCAACAGCAGGTCCACTGCGATGTACCATCATAAGGTTCCCCCGTGAGATTAACGAAAGGCTGCTGGTCTAAAGTATCGCAGGCAGAGTTGTGGTTCAATGCACATTTGCATTCGTTGTTGTCCACTGCACATTGTCTGTCTGAAAGCGAGCTGTTGCAAGAAGACTAATAAACGAGGAACATTCCGTTAGTAGTTTAGAGTGAACGTTTTGATCCTTTTTGAGCAAAGAATAAGAATAAATCTCTATTTTTTATTCTAAACTTTTCGTCTTTTTATTTATTTATTTATTTACCAGCTTTTCTGGACACAGGCATGCCCAGAGGGAATGTGCACGAACGGGACTCAGGTCCCATGCGAGGTGCCATCCCTACCCAATCCCACAACCCGTAAAGGTTGGCCACATCACCGGGGTCTACGACCCCTACTCTTTTCAAATAGTAATGTGGGTCCTTTTACGTCCCACAAAAACAAATCAGTGAAAGTGCTGTGAGACCCAAATATAATGTTTTTGCTACAAGCGTACGCAACGGCGTCCTGGACTTTGACAGTTTTCTACTGCGTCTCAACAATAAAATTGATATTCTTCGCACCATAGCTTTTAGATCTAACTGCTTATGGCAATTCAAAAAAACATGGGACAAACTTCTTTAGATACGCGAATGCTAGTGTCATTTCCTTCAAGCTACACTTTACTGCTATACTGTTTCACTTATCAGGTTTGCGTCTTTTTCCTTTGAATTTAGTTTGTTTGTTTGTTTGTTTGTTTGTTTTTTTTTTTTGCGTGACAAATTTAGTTTGTTTTTTGCCATATGGATATATATTTTTTCATAGTTAAAATAACAAGTATTTGTAATTAATTTTTTTCTTGTCAATAAAAAAAAAAAAAAAAAAGAAAGAAAGTGCTGTGAGACGGGACCTACGGTTTTTCGTCCTTATCCGAGAAGACTAGAAAGTCTAACCACTTGCAGATGTCATTACAAAGGCAGCACTTTCTTCACAGTTATTTAAAGACCCTGAGTGTTTGTCCGGCCGGGGTTTGAACCCGCGACCTCTGCATGGCAGGCGCCCTTCCCCTAACCCCCGGGGGATACTCCCTTATATTTGCCTACCGCTTCAAAGGGTATGTTTTTTGCGCCGTGTTGGTCTGAAAACGGGTATAGCTATGGTTTTTGCGGCAATGCATGAACGTATCTGTCGTTTCAATTCCAAATGAATAAGAAAGAAAGAGTAACATGCGAATTCGAGGTGGACTTTACGAAATCCTTTTGTTGGCGTTCTAATCTAAGTAATGATAATATTATTTCTGCCTACGCCAGGTCTAAAAACGGGTGTGGAAAATGACAATTTTTAGGTCTGAAATAGGGTCAGGATTTGAAGAACCGGGTAGCACACCCCCACCTAGAATTCCCAGGAATATCCCCCCGGGCAATACCCCTTTCGACGCCTGCTACGCAGACTAGATTGACTGCGAAAATATTTCATTTTCGAGTCGCATTCTATTCATTCTAGAAAATTAAACATTTTTACCTGATATAAATTATATCGGCCTTATTGTTCTACCATGAAATTTAAAAACAACAGGATATTGGTCGGGAAATTGTAAAACTTTGCTTGGAACTCAGTTTAAAGTCCTACTTTTTTCGCGCAACAATATGCCAGGTGGTTATGTTTTTATTGTTATGTCAAGCAAATACCAAATGCCACCTAGGGTTTATTTAAAACATCTCACAGGATCAACGCAAAAATAATTATTGAAAGTCGCTGTTTGAATAAAACATCCACGCCCCATTTGTGTTGTTTTTAACTAAAACAACGTTTTCCCCGGTGATCAAAACTTAATCAACTCGAAATGTGCTTCTTTCGTATTCATAGTAATTCACAAATAAAAACATAAAAACGACGACGACAAAAACTATGATGATATAATAATGATAATAATAATAATGATGATAAAAATAATATTTCCACAATAATAATAATAATAATAATAATTTTCAGAATAGTAATAACAATAATAATTTTCACAATAATAATTATAGCAATAATGATAATAATAATGATTAATAATAAAACATCGGTTGGACTCTCAGATGATAAAATATATTTCAAACTTTCTGATATGGTTGTTACGGTTTCTCTGATGATTTTTAATTATCTTTTCGTTCCTTGCACGGTTTGCCGTCGGCAAGACAAAATTCTAACACTCAAACAAAAGAGGATTGATCTGTTTTCTTAGGTCGTTGTCTGCTATAACTGTCAGCTGTAAGTCGGTCATTTTGATTAGCGTACTCGTATTAACAGACATGTGAATATGGAGACATTTTAATGACATGTCTCACCAAGGTTGTTATGGCAAAGTTAAATTTCAGGCTAGCGAAATAACCAGATTGTTAATTCATCTCAGTAAAAAAACTATATTGCACCCTTAATTAACTGTTACCTCTAAGCTGAGATATGAACGGGATTAGAGTATAAAATTCTCATTTTCTGGGCGAATATTAGCTAATATTGCTTGAATCTATCTTGGGTAATTCGAACTGACATGGCGACCGTAATTTAAGGAAATTCAAGGATAAAAATTCCGTCTAAATTATTAGGCGATAATACATGGTCATTGTGTGGTATTAGCTAATTAGGAGAGTTTTATCCTTGGCCTTCAAAGTTAAAAGAAAAGCTTTGTCCAATATTGATTGCTGACAACGGTAGAATTTGCCAGAGTGTGAGCGGTGTGTCTTCATCCCACAGCGATATGAAATCTTTTTTCATTTCAAATGTATATTCTAATTCCTGAGAAAAAAAATCCGAATTTGTGTTTTGAATTAAGGCACGTTACTAAAGGAAAGTGAAAGCTCTGAGGAAAATTTCACTTTGTTAGTTAGAGTCTACACTGAAAACAGATGTATTCCTTCATTTGCTTGACTGTTACGTTTTCATTATCAACAGTACTTATACGAAACGAAAAAATAAATTTCAGATAAATTTCATAATACCAGTATCCTTACTTTTTGTTACATCAGTCGGGATGGATACTACATTGAAAGAATTTTCTTGATGTGTGAGAAATGCGAAACGGTAAAGTCTTCAAAGCTCGGTATTTAAAATCAGTTGGCCAACTTGAATTTAAAAGTGTTAAATAAAATCCAATTTTTAAGCGCGCGTCGTCTTCAATAGCTCTTTTTATCCAACATGCATGCCTGTTTACACTGTCGCTAAGCCAAAAATGAATAAAATTAACTAATCCCTGAATTCTCAAGGGACGTTTACTTCAACACTTGAATGAGGAAATAAATGAATTTACATTTCTTACCTTAGAACAGGGATAAAATTCTCCTGGACTCAATGCGTAGCTAGTGAGTTTCGTTTTTAGCATGAAAATGGCACCTACATACGAAAAGACGTACAGTTTTGCGGTTAATTATGTCACAAAAAATCAAGCTGTAAAATGTTATTTTTAGTTTAAAAATCATAATGATTTCCAGTTTGAGACTTCGATTTCAAAGTAACAAACCTTACCGTGTAGAAGAATATTAAGCCAACACCGCGAGAGCATGGTTCGTCGAAAAAGGAAAACATTCACAGTTAAAATCGGTTTTCTTGAAGCCAAAGTTGTCATAGACGCTTCGAAAACAAACTTGTTCCTTTGTTCGGCGTCATGTCAAAATGAAATTTGCAGTCCTTCCCTAACTTGTCTTTATCGAAGCATGTAATCTTAAAATGAAAAATCAAGAAGAGGTGATACGTACGGACCCGGGATAAAAGGGATATTGTACGCCAAAATTGGCGTCCGGTCATTGGTTGTTAAACGTATTTGGACTAAAAAGGGTACACCTGGGTTATAGTCTCACTTGAAAGAGGTTTTAGTGACATCCCCACTCCAGCTGCTCAAATATTCAATAGATTCGTTTTCCCTTTCCTTCTAACTTCGTTGATTGCTAAAAAGCTTGCTTATGTCAAGCCAAGATGATTGTGCTGATTTTGTTTTGTTAATCTAAAAGATCTCCAGCTCTAATGAGTATTGTGCTAACAATTCGGCTGCCCCATTTGTGATAAAGTATTAGCGGTAAAAAGCCCTTGGATTTTAAGACTTTCATGTCACTGTGGCTTTTGACAGCTTCAGCCAATCGGATTCTTAACCTCGTTTACACTTTTGGAATAAGATAGTACCATTGTTCGTCCCAACACCGAACGACCGATTGTTTCCTTTAACGTAGATATGTTGAAAATATTGGAAAATTGAAGGTAAAATTAGTTTATTGTTACGTTATCATAAAAGAGGCAGAAAGCCTTATTGTTGGAATTAAAAATTGAGAAAGACAAAGCTGGTACATAATATTTTATACTTGTGTACGAAATAAATTTGAAAGGTTTCATTGTAATAATTATTCATTCTACCCAAGTTTAAAGCTATTTTTAACTGACAGTTAAGGAAGTTTAGCCAGCTCTAAAACGATTTTCGTCATTGCAGTATTGTCTTTCTTTCACGGAAGTTTTTCCAACTAATGTTTTTCAATTATATTTCAACGAAACATCTAGACCATTTTTATCGTTACATTGTGTTACAATGTAAGTAAAGTTTTGACGAACGAAAGGAAATGTAAAACAGTATTGCTTCGCCGACCAGCGGGTCCCGTTGCCGGATGTCGCGTCAAACGCGGTTCATTAGGATTTGCCTTAGGCAACATTTAATTATGTTCAACTTGAGATATGTAAATGACAATCGCGAACCAGACAGTCTGCTCTGTAAATTAAGTAAGGCAAATAAAGTGCGCCGAGTGTCGTCAACACAAAACATAAACTTAAAACATTTTATTGCTTAGTCTACCTCTCGTGGGCTGATTTGCAGCTATAAGCTGTTCAATTTTTGAATGCTTGCCAAGATCTGTCAAGAGGTTCAAAAATTAAGGCTTCCGGATCATTTCCACCGAAATGTTTGACTATAGAACAAAATTTAGTCAAAATATCTATCCCACATCAAAATGGTGTTGAAACGTCATCCGTCAAGGGCTAAAACGCATTCAAAACGAACGGTAGGACGTAAAGGTAATACACTCCAACTAGCGACAGCAGTGAATACGTTACTTACAAAGTGTTTTCGCGTTCCTAAACCTATATCGCTATCATTCACTCACTCACTTTGTCAAATGAAGCCGAATTTTCCTGGAAATGATATATTAAGACTGTTTCCAATTACGGAAAGAGAAAGAAAATTGGACGACCTGTGTTTACGTCGCTTCAAGAAATTTAACGTACTCGTGCAGCGACGCCGCGACGGCAAGTAAACGAACTTGACCTTATATTTCCCCGTTTATTCGTCCCTAATCTGAGGGTATTTTATGATGGCCGACCGATCCAACCACGTGAAATACTTTGGCTAATAGATATATGCCGTTGCAACATCACTGGAACATCATCAGCCAACATAAGCCTTCACGACGCCAACGACGTTGGCCAAGGCCCATTCAACAAAATTGGTTTTCAGACTCCTGCGGGGACATTGTTATCACACGTTGCTTTGTTTCTTTGGTGGTATAGCAGATGTTCATACAAATTCTAAATGAAAACTGATATGGCTGATTCCCTTAAGTGAATATTCACGTTAGACATCCAATAATCGCGACATACGCCTTGAAAGTAGGTCACCGTAAAGTTCCGAAAGTATCGAATTTAGCACTCTTCTGCTATCGCTTCTTTTGGAGGTTCGCTACTTTCGGGGGTTGTTACTTTTGGACGGCTAAAACGTGTACTCCACATGGGCACTTCAAAAAATAAAATCGCAATACTTTTTGAAAAAAGGTAATGTATATCCTGCACTTTAAGAGTTATGAATAGAATGTCAAATAATCATTATTGATAAACCTCGGATCAATGTGGCATTTAATTTATTCAGGATATCTATCATATCCGTTATTTTTGCAAAAAGGGAAATTCGGTAATCATTTTGAGGTCTCTACTTTCGGAGGGTCGTTATTTCCGGGGGGATCGCTACTTTCGGGATTTGCTAACACCTGTGACATTTTATCGCTACTTTCGGAGGTTCGCTACTTTCGAGGGGTCGTTACTTTCGGAACTTTGCGGTATCGCTTAAACAAAACTCCTGAATGTTGTATTTATACATAATTTTTACATACTTGAATTCCTACAAGTCAGTTGACAGATCCTTATTAATGGACAAGTTTAGAATAAAACTTTTAGAGTTAAAAACATTACTTATAAACCGTACAGTACAAAGGAATTCTAGAAAAAAGCAAATAACAGGGGCACCCCACGAGAATATAGTTCAAAACCATTTAAACATGGCATTGTTAAACGTATTTTAGTATTTAAACGGTAGATATAGGCATGTTTTTATCCCCTAAAAATTTTTCATCAGTTCGGATTTCCTAGTCTAGTGATCCGAAAATTATAGGGATCAAAACTTACCATTTCGAAAATTTGAGCCAGAAAAAAAGCTCCCGAAAATACTAGGTGACCTTTTTAGGGTAAAAATCCGTTAAAAATGGGTAATTATACCATTTTTTAGATGTTCGAAAATCCTAGGAGAGGCAGGCAAGCAAGAAATTTTACAACAAATGTTCCGAAAATTCTAGATCACAAATCGTCTTCCGAACAGATATTTTCCCAAAATTGACGTTGGGTGCCCCTGAAATAAGACTTGTTAATAGTTTACTGTAATTACTAGAGACGAACTCCTTCCTAAAATATTTTGGTACGAGAATGAACATCGTATAATATCACCGTATAACAATGTGCACTTTTAAATTATTTACCTTCTACACCTGTTTTTTAAAGGAAAGTTTAACACGAAAGCCATCATATGAAAGATCGCCTCAAGAAGCTCAGCTATGAAATTCTTTGCATGTCAAGAATGAGACGCTTAAGATATTGTCTATGCATGATAAAAAAGCAGCGACCGGCATCTGGAAGTACTGGCCCACAAGTCAGTGACCTGAGTCGCTCTCCACTGAACTGGCAAATTTTATCTGTAAATATGACGATTAGATGCCACCGCCAAACGAAAAAATTGTTGTAAACTTCTTTGCCAAACTGCAATGGCTCATCAATCAGGAGAAAACGGCCGGTTTATTTTCAGTGCTTGAAAATATCGTCTCACTGAACAACAGGAGTAGCTGGAGTGGTATCTTGAGAATCGTAGTCTTGTTGTTCTACTTTCGCGATCTCTGACTTCATATGTTGGATAGCATCCTTGCACATTTTAAGTTTTTCATTTAATTCGCTTATTTCTTTTCCTATTTTCTGTCGCGCACCACCTATAGAAGCTGTTGTCCTCTTTTCAATTTCATCCCCTGCAAATTAACAATAAACAATACAAAAGTTTTTTTTTCAGGAAGTTTTTAGTGTGTTGCAGAACTGCACTTGCTAATTGGCCAGAATCTCCTCCAATCAGACGAAAAGGCCACCTCTACATTTCTCGCTATTGCTATTGGTCAAAATATCACGTGTCACTTTGTCTTCCAATCAGAAGCGACAAGCGAGACCCATACGATAATATTTTGATTGGTCAAAAAGTCTCGTGCCAGTCTCTCCTCCGATCAGAGGCACAAGTTACTTAACAGCGGACTGAAATTTCTGGAGTTTCAGAAACAAACGAAGGGATAGCGAATGAAAGGTGGAAAATTTTCGAAAGTGACCATCATTGTGAAAAAAAAAAAAAGTGGAGCAGAACGACAAAAAAAAATCGGCAAGCGAAGCAAAGGCTTGGGAGAGGACAAAGGCAGGGGAGCCTGATAGAGTTTGTTTTGATGTCGCCCACTTAACACATATGTCAATAACATGTCAATAAGCTAATTAGACCTGTCTAATTATGATGGCTATTATGCTTGAACGCATCGGCTTCAATAACAGTCGCCTGTATATGGGTATTTTTCCTCGCTCAATTGTCAGCAGTCAGCGATCTAAAGAATCAGATCCAGGGCTCGTACCCTTTTTTGAACAAAAAAATCAAGGACTTTCAAGGACTCCATTCAGTGCAAAAAAGAGCCTTGCATCTATGTCTTTTTTAGTTCTTCCACAACATAAGCAATTTCATCCTGAAGGTCTTTCTGTGTTTTCTCCTTTTATGCAATTGAGAATCTGGGTTGGATAAAGTTAGTTCCGACGGCAATTTTCAACGACTTTCAAGGAATTTCAAGGAGCATGTGAATCCCACAGATCATGATACCAGAATCTGGTTTAATGGATGAGTGGCATCAAGACAAAGTCTACAGGCTGCCCCGCCAAGCTCTTTTCTTTATCGCCCCACTCCACTGGGAGCCTGTTTGCATGATACTGTTTACTTACAGTCTGATTCATGTTTTATTGGCTGTAACTGTCGGGCACTCAGAAGACACTGGTGCATCATCTGGGTGGGGTCTTGAAAAATCTACAAAATAAAATAAAAATGTTTCAGAAATTTAGAGTGCAACTGATCTTCCAGACCATTCTCGTCGTAACGAGAATTTCACTTTTAATCAAGACTGTCCAGCCAGATCATTCAAATGCTAAATAGCAAGCACGAAGTGGATGGTTTTTCCAAAAAAAAAAAACTCTTTGTAAAAGCCTGTTTCATTGTCGAAATGTTTTGTCTGGCCTGCTAGTTCTGACTTTTGGAAAGCGCCCTTAGATATGTTTTTTAATGGGAAATAATTTCACTGGCATGCTTCACATTTCAGGCCTGGTATAGATCCTCTGGCACTCTAGAGGTTCCCTATCTATCTTGGCCAGAAATTCTTGCGTGACAAGCTGACAGCTTCCCACCAAAATCTCTTGTCCATCATTACCGTTCTATTTTCTGAAACTGTTTCCAGACCAGTGTACCTCGCCTGGGTTTTAATGAAGGAAAAAATGGCTTTTTTACACAGTTTTTGAGAACTAAACAGAAAACTTATGGTAGGGAGTCCAACTCTCTCAAAAAAGAATACAGTTGACCCTACTTTACGGGAACCTGCTTAATACGGACACCTTATTATCATGGACAGTTTGCTTTTGTTCCGGGGGAAAGAAACCTTTCACATTTTCTATAAATTCAACCCGCTTAATAAAAACATCCCTTTAACCCCTTGAGTCCCAATAGTGCTCAAAATCAATTTTCTCCTAACGATATCCATAGACTATCATGAGCAAAGTCTATGAGAATTAACAAAATGATCACAAAGATAAATATATTTGATCTTTTATCAAATTCTCTCAACTAATTCTTCATGGAAATGTATGTAGATCAGTTTGGAGAATTTGTATGTGGATATTGGGACTTTTAAAACAGACACTTTCAATGGCCCCCTCGGTGTCTGTATTAACTGGGTTTGACTGCAACTCTTTATTTTAAAATGATCTTGACTTACAATTTCATCATAAAACTCAGACACCAACTGTTTCTTTCCAGAAGCGAGAGCTGACTCCGTCTGGAAGAGCTTTAAAAGATGATACAGAGTAACCTGTAATAAAGAAGACAGACCATAACAATTAACCCTTTAAGTCCCAATGGTGACCAACATCAATTTTCTCCTAACCATATCCAAAGATTGTCAAGAGATTTGGTTATGAGAATAAATAAATTGATCACCTAAGAGAAAATGCTTTGATCTTTCATCAAATTCTCTCAACTTATTCTTTAAAGGGTTAAGAAATATCCTCACAGCTCCGCAGTGGCGGAAAAGGCAAAAATAAAAAAATCGGTGAGCCAAGCGAGCTGAGCGGGAGCAAATCAAACATTGTGTATTACAACAAAAGGGAACAGGTCTTAAGAATTTTACAATATGTTTTAAGGAAAACAAGTCTCAGAATTCTAAGAGAGTATCACCCTAGCTCTAAAGTACAGTGCAACTTCTAGGAGGCAGCAGCTAGATTTGTTCTTGGTTGTCCTGAGTTCACATCCTTGCCATGCTTGTAAAAAGCCAACTGGTTGCCTTCTACCAGTCGGGGTTTATAATCCTGTTATGTTTTATTTGGGTTTTTTATGTCTAGTTATTTGAGTGGTGTGCCTGTAAAGTAGCTGGATAAGCTAAGTTCACTTCCCACTCTAAACAAACCTTTAACCTGTACATGCATGTACATGCATGCATGTCCTGTACATGTTACAATGTGGCCTGATGAAGAGGAATCGAGAAGTAAAAGAAACGCTTTCTAACCGGTCTTTCTGCAGGATCCATGAAGAAGATCTTGATCTGTATTTCAAATTCTCCCCAGCCTGATTCATTCACTTCGTATGGAGGTTTTGTTACAACTGCATAGAAAACAAGATGTCAGAAAATTATAATAGGATTATCAATCAAACAAGTTGCTATACACCAATTCCAGGAGTAAAGCTGCGGCTCTATTTACTATTTACCATATTGGACAAAAAGTGATAAGAATTCTGCACATTCTTACACACAGGATGCCCATCCTATTGATTTGGTACCACAATGCAGGGCTGTCACTATAAGAGCCGGGTGGGGCTGGGGATTTTCCCCGGTTACTATGAGCGTGAGCTCCAGCAACTTTTATAGGAAACAAAAGGAAAATAGAACCAAAATTGCTTCTTAGCTGTACAATTCCCCTGCTACTGATCACATAAACACGGCAAGTTGAAGTGTTAGCGACAGCCCTGCACAATGACCCCTCTCCTCACCTCATCCTGCTCAGCACTGTTCAGTCAGGAGCAGAAATGATTCAGCTGGAAATCAACATTGTTTTTTTTGGAAGAAAGGGTGACATATTTGTAATCAGCAGTACTTTGAAGAGCCTTATTACCGTGGAACCCCATTATTACGGTCACCAAGGGGCCAAAAAAAATTGGCCGTAATAACGAGAGGGGACCGTATTAACAAGGGTTTCTTTACAAGAAAATGTATAGGTGTTTCTGCTGGGCATACAAAAAAAGTGGCTGTAATAATGGGGTGACTGTTTTAACGAGGTGGCCGTAAGGCAGGGTTCAACCATATTTCAAAAAAATAGACAATAAATGCCCATTTTTCTTAAACTTTTTTGTACAAGATTATAGAAATCTTGAGATAGGCTTATAAAAATAATAAGGTACTCTCTTACAAAATTTTTTTTTCAGTCCTTAGACATCTTACCTCTGAGAGGGTTAGCATAACTTTCATGAAGTTTGAAGTGAACTTTTTTCACATAACTGGACATGTCCTATAGAGAATGGTACAAGGAATATCTGAGAGTATTCAATGAAGCTTTCATTGTGGAGCAAATACAGAATGCAGGGTCATTTTGTAAGGCCTTAAACAGAAATGGCTCAGTGGCTTGCTAGACATGATGAGCATTTAAGGAATGAGAAAGGTAAGTGTTAGATAGCAAGCAAAGTACATATAATTTTAAAGAACAAGTTAAGGTGCTAGCTATATAATATCTTAGTGCCTCAGTAGCTCAGGGGCTTGTCAGTTGAGGTTAGAGTCTTAAAGAATGACAAAGGTATAAGTTTTAAAGGCATCTCTTCAGTCAGGACTACTGAGCCACCCCAGTGAATATGTATTCTTTACTTATGCCTTCACTGTTATAACTCTTTAGGGAATTAACCAACAACAATGCGAAAACCGTATTGGCAAGTTACTTATATAAACTTGTGTCACAGGACAAAGGCTATGAAAAAAAGTGTTGCTTGATAACAAACAGTTTTTCTTCAACTGCTGAAAATGAAATTACCAAATGTCGATAAATGAATCACCGATAAGCCGCTCAGCAAAACTGTCATATCATTTATCACAGTTTTGAGCAAGCTTCATAAACCACCACACTCACTCGTCTTGGGATCTTACAGTCTTTATTTAGAACAAAACCACTCAAACTCAAGAGAACTGGTTAAAACAAATACTACAGTCAATTCAAACAAAAGAATCCAAACAACAGAAAGAGAAGAAGACTGTCCATGGAAGTGGCGGGATGGGCAAATTTATATCTGCACTATGCTTATAATCTTGCTTCCGTAATCTGCTTGCTTATGCTATAAACTGCGTGTGTACCCCAGGGAGTTATGCTATTAGACCTTAGTTTACAAAACCTTATCACTCTCTGATTGGTTACTTGAAATCTTGTGACTATCAGCTATATTGTAGTATTTTTACATCGTAAGTGTATTGAACCAGTGGCTAGTTAAAGCCCACCAGACCCCACATACACTACTTTGGGGGGGGGGGGGGTGGGGAGGGGGGTGGTCCAGATTTATATTAATACATTGGTAGTAACAGCAATACCTATAGGTACAATTTTTTTACCAGAACTCGAAAATATTGAAACACTCTGCCTTCCTTTTTATTAGATCAGCCTTCCGTGGATGCAATTAAATCTGCTGTTACTATTATATTAATCTGCCTCGTTGATTTTATACATCATTGACTTTATACATCATTTTATTTTATTTTATTTTTTTGACACATTCACAGTAATGAATGTGCAAATGAATGATGAGTGACCTTTGAGAATTAAAACATAAAAATAAATATAAATTACAAGTATCAATATCCACTTTGAATGGGCCCAAAACTTCACTCCAAAAATTATTTGAATGAGCTACAAGTATACGTTCAACAATCGTTTCGATATAACTAGTCCTCTTGTTTTTTAATATTGTTCTTATGCACTCAATCTAGCGACAAACAACGTAGCCTAAATGGCTCACCTCGTTCTTGAAAGGACGAAGAAAGACAATCCACCCATGAGTATGACCGTCAGTTTCTCGCTTCTTTCCAAAATAATGCGACACATTTCCAAATATCACCGGCTTTATGATGGTAACACCCTTAAAAGATTAACAGGGAAATTTATTAAAACAATAAATGAAAAGAGTACTTTTTGGGACCATAAATAACAACAAACCTTAACTCTGGAGTTGTCGCCTGAAGACGCCATCTTGTTTTAGTCAGTAACACTGGTTACGGGCTCAAGTTTCCTTTGTAATTTGCGTCAAGTATTTTGCTGGAAGTGTAGCGCATTTTTTCAGAGGGACTGGTCGCCTAAGGTCGCCTACAGCCGCCCCCTCCTCAGGCGCTGTTTTATTTTTCGTTTCGTTCTTTTTATTTCCACCCCTACCCCGCTTGCGCTGGCGGTCAATATTAAAACCCCTCGCGGTTTTTATGTTTTATGACTTGCGCTCGACGGACTTTGAAGAGAAAATAGAGGGTCTGTGAACAGGCTACCTCCTCTCTCAGAGTTTATGGAGCTTTGGCAACGACGACGGTAACGTAAACGAGAACATCAAAAAAGCCATCCCATTATTAAGCAAAACAACAACTCTGCACGTGCATCACGCTTTTTTGTACATTTCTTCGCCGTCACTGCACGACTACGACGCGAAAATGCCTAATTTCACGTTCTATGGAGGACGTATTAAAACAAGCAACGACGAAATTTTCTTTCGACTCTTTCTAAACTTGAATGAGGTCCCCAAGCTAAGAAATCCACTCCAGCGAGTTCCGCCTACGTTTGACATTTTCAGCGAATTGGTTTAAACGCGACAAAGTTTTTCCTCGTTTTATTTTTCGGGCGGCCAACACGGAAAATCCCGTTCTTCGTCGTTCCTCCGTCTTTCTTTACAGTTGTCTTACCAAAAAGTTGTCAGGAACGTATTGGAGGAAAAAAACCTCATGAAAGTTAGTCCCTAGTTCAGAGTCACCTTCTTAACTGTACATTTAGAGCCGGGAGAGCTGTCCAGAAAGCCCAAGCTCAGTTAAAATATGAAGAGTAACGAAAGGTAAAACATTGCGTACTCTCTTAATAAAATGTGATAGATTCAAGAAGATATTTATTCGCATAACTTCTCAAAAGTCTTGCTTTATTTACATGGTGTGTTCTTGCTTCCTGTGTGGCATTTTCCTTATCCGAAGCGGTTTATGGATTTCTCCCCCTTCAAAAGAGTGAGCTCTCTCTTTAAGGACTTTAAGGAATAAGGCCCCACTTAAAAATTTCCCAAACGGAAAGTTTAAAATTCACGGTAAGCGAAGTGAAATACGGTCAGAAACCCCAAGGGTCATGACGGATAGTTTTTTTTCCCATAATGACCGGAACTAGATTGGTTTTAGCCTGCGAAAACATCCGTTTCACCCTCGCTCTTCGCCGCTGGGGACGTTTCGCGCGAAACGTCCCAAGCTGCAAAGAGCGAGGAGAAACGTATGTATTCGCAGGCTAGATTGGTTTCATCCATCGGTTGATGAGCGCAAAATTTATTTGTTAGTTATTTGAAAAGCGCCCGAGGATATTTAAGAAAAATCTTCAGTCAAATCATAAGAAGTTAGCTACCGCATAGTGGAATTTTGGCCTAGTTCTTGTTGAGCCGACTGAAACTACAAGCTCCCGCTCGGCTCTCCAAAAACAAATCGCCATTAAGGAAATTAAATTTAGATCAAGGATAAGAAAAGCAATTCTTCTCTTAAATGGGGAAATTGACATATTTTTAAAAAATTGAATAGACACATGACAAGAAAAATTAATGAAAATTAAAAATTGGAAGTTTCATTTTCGAATTAGCTGACACGAACAATAACGCAAATGGTGGAGGCTGAAATAAACTTTATTACTTCAGCCCCCTCAATAGACGCAAGTTTTACGACACTAATTTCGTGGGTATCGTGATAATTTAAAAAGTTCGATATCTTTAGTGATGCAAAACCCTGTAATTGGGCAACTGACTGTCAAATACTGTCCCTCTTATACAAACGTGCAGGAAATCAGTCGTGAAAATTAAGCGTTGTGAAATGCGCATACTTAAAAAACGAAAATTTAAAGTATCATGAAGAATTCGTACTATTTATACGAAGAGGCCACTTCATGATAGACTTCGAGAAGTCCTTTATTATTCTTGGGAAAGCCGGAATGAGTCCAAAACGCGATTTTTCTCTTACATCAGCCTGTGTACAGCCGCCCCCTCGGGTGTACACAGGCTAGTTTACATATCCTATCAGCTTCTTTAACGTAATGCTATTTTTAAATCAACACATACTGGAAAGTGAAACACCTATCTTGAAAGACAAAGGTGACTGACTGTATGGAGTGGAGTTGGTTTCGCGTTCTGAGAATTTACTTATCTTAGCTAATATTCAGTTTCCAATGTGGTGTCTAATTGCGCACTATATATTTATCATGGCTCGAAACTGATTTTCCAAATTGTGGCTCTTGATGCTTCAAGGCCTTGACCGTTATTCATTTGTTCCAAGATGATAGGGTGGTCCAGTCCAATACGGTATTTTCAAATAATCACGAGTTGTCAGTTTGGTAATTATTGCGTGAGCTTATCCAATATAAAAGTGTCTGTCATTCCTTTCATTCTAGTTGTCTTACTTATAAGCTTATTTCCTATTGCGCTCAAATGACGAGCTTTTCATTTTAATTACCGTAAGATCATCTCCGCTGCCCACCTGAGTTAATCAAGGTTAAGGATACAAAATGAACTGAGCTGGTCACGGAGCGTAAATCTTCGCATTCAGACATGTCACTATTGGGATCGTACCCTTGCTCAAATATCTCGGCGCCCACCAGTTTAAGCATCACTTCAGCTACATTCTGTTCAGTCCTCTCCGCTGTAGCTGTAGTAGGAAATATCCTTGTGTTTCTGGCAGTAATTATTGATCCGAATCGCAATCTACGATCACCTTTCAATTGGTTTGTCGCTAACCTGGCGGCAGCCGATTTAATAGTGGGTTGTTTTGCGTTACCAATGTCGGCGGAGTTCTATATTCGGGAGGCTTCGACAAAACAACTTACACTTCTTCCTCGAGATGACGCAAGACGTGTGGGAAGTTTCGTCTCGTGTACGGCATCCCTTTTTAGTTTAGCTGCAATGAGTTTGGACAGATTCTTTGCCATTACTAATCCGATGGAATACAGAGCTAAATTGAATTCTCGGAGAGCCACAGTCATCTTGCTTTCAATATGGACTATCTCCATTGGGTTGCCCTTTCTGTATTTTAGTGTCGGCTATCTAAAATACCAATTCTTCTTCGCTATCACCGCTGTCGTGACAACATTTGTGGTACTTTGTCTGACCTACGTGAAAGTTTTCAAAAGTTTTAGAAATCAGGTCAGGACTTGGGACAGTTTTCATCAAGGCTCAGAGAGTTATAACCACGTCAAGAAGAGAACGATCAAATGGGAGAAAAAAGTAACTAAGACATTTCTGATCATGTTGACCCTTTTTATTTCCTGTTTTCTTCCTTCGTTGATCCTTATCCTGATCATAAGCTTTTGTGCAAGCTGTAACTGTGATTTTATTCACTGGGCGAGAGATTTGAACTACATCCTAATCATGGCTAATTCCAGTATGAATCCGTTTGTCTTTGCCTGGAGACTTCGGCCCTACAGAGACGCGTTTCTTAAGATACTAACATGCGGGGTTATCGTACGAAAACTGCGATCAGTCTCTGAACAAATCAACATTTCCATGAATTCATTAAATCCATCTTCTGGGATTTCAAGTAGCATTTAAAATTTGTAATGTTTCAGCGACATTTTCAGTATTTCATTCCTCGGTACAAGATTACGAAACGGAAAACTTTGACTTCTGATTTAAAGTTCTCAATATAATTTTAATTTGGAGATAAGGAAAATATTACTGTGAGATTACTCCCAAACACAATGTAATTTGATTTGTTTGACTGAAGCCAAAGTTAAGACGTTTGATCATGCAGCCGTTTTTTAAGAAGACAAGAAGACAGTTTCTTTGGTCAAATCATCCCTTGCTTAACTCTAACAGCTCTAAAATGGAACGATATATAAATAGTTTGAATTAGGAAGAAAACGTTTGCAATTTTTTTCAATCTTTTTTGTGACAAAGTGTTGACTTTAAAGCTTTCAGCGTTTAAATTATTTACACACTTGATTGATCTTTATTTACTCGGATCGTGTACTATACTTAATTAACTTAAAACGATGCATCTGCTTCCGTTTTCACAAAAAATGCGCCAAAAATAGCTAAAAATGAAACTTAACTCATTCTTGTGAAAACTAAAGGAAGTTTTACGATGTTGAAACACGTTAAAGGCAGTCTGTTTAAGAGTTAAGAAGGCGGTCATATTACATTCATTATATTGACAATAAATTGAGCTCAAATCTGTTCGATTCACTGATCCCAGCAACCATAATTGCAGTGGCAGGTTTAGTAATTAAATCTAGTTATAATTAGCATTTTGTAAAACGAAATGCACTAGCTACAGCCTCTCTCCCTTATCACCAAGTTGCTATTTGAGAATAAGAGTTAAGTAGAAGTAATTAGAGATAAATATAATGCATTCGAAGGATGCAGAAAGTTTACGGAGGGGGTTAGTTTAGAAGAGTGGTCTGTAAAGCGGAAGGTCTTCGGTTTGATCGCCGGTCCGTGGCAACACCAATACCCTTCGCCTTAAAATAACTGAGAAATGAAGGTAATAAAGCCCCCTGGCTTTGACTTGCAAATGACTAGATCTAGGTATTTCAAATCAACGGAGCGTCGGAACTGGATACGAGATTCAATATCGTCTCCAGTAAAAGACGCAAAAATAGTGTCCTCACGTGCTAAATTTAAAATGCATCAACAGATACTCGTGAATAAAAGTATAATTTTTGCGATATTGTATGTTATGATGCTCTGATGTCAGTATTGTTATGTTTTTGAGGTATGCAATACTGTTGTCGCTGATTTCGGCTCGATATTTGTTTAAAAAATGTTCCAGCATTTTGGCAAACATAGCCTTTTTGAAAAAAAAAGGGTAATGTACCTTTAGAGTTACATAAAGGAATGTCAAAGATCATTATCACCGTTAAAATTAACTTCGGATCAGTTTGGTAAAGCTTGTTGTATCTAGAATTTCCGTCATTTCTAGGAAAAAGGGGGATCACTTTTGAAGTCGCTTCTTTCACGTGGGCGTTGTTTTGTTACTGATTTCTATTCGATATCTGTCCCAAATTAGACATGGTCAGAGAAGCTGGTATTTTGCTAAAACGAGGAACAGGGAACGTGGAACGAGGAATGAGGAACGGGGAAAGGGAAACAAATTGGAACAAAACCTAGTAACTTAACCCTTTGCCCCATCAGTAACTTCATTAGTCATGCCAGCTTTGTTTTCTCCCCATTTTCATTTTCCAGTTTCCCGTTTTAGTTAAATCCAAAACATCCGAGTGCCATAAATCGAGGCTACCACGAGGCAAATGTTAACACACCATAGGAGGCATTAAATTAAAAAAACAATCACATAAGTGTTACTTCATTTATATTCAAAGCTTTTAAACGCACCACAGTAATCAAATTACTGCTCTTACGATGTAAAAGGAAAAAGATTATGATGTTTCTTTAGAATGTGAAACGTTACGTTTTGCTGACGCGGAAAAAAGAACTTCTCTGACTAACCAACGGGCATCGTATGTTCAGGAAACAAAGACGGAGATGCCACAATAGCAGCACCAGTTTGAAACTTCCAGATTACAGAGCCATCATTATCGTGTAAAGCGTACAGGAACTTGTCTGAGCTAGCCGCATACACTACGTTATCACGTGACACTCCTACAGAAGCCATAGCCTGTGAACAGGCAAACAGAGAGCCTGTTCACAGGCTACAGAAGCCACGACGTAGTCACCTGTTGTTGGTGACCATATATGGGAACCGTCGGTTTGATTGACAGCCAAAATGCAAACATCGCCTGAACCAATCGTCAGAAACAATGTTAAGAGCCCATGACCGTAAATATCGAGAATCGCTCGGCTTGCCAGGCTAAAAAATTGAAAATTCTGATAATCTGTCAGAAAAACCCCTCGGGGAACTATCTTCGAAAAAAATATTTTTAACTTTTGAGAATCTATAGTTTTCGAGAAAATAAGGAAAAACGAAGATAGCTGTTTTTACCTAATTAATTATGCAAAAATTAGAGTAAAAAATGATCGACTTTATCGCGATCGCGTCTGTACCGAAGCAAGATTCAAAGCTATAAAACAGAAATATTTTTGTTTTAAAGCATTCTATCTTTTCTTTCTTTCCATGGTACGTTTTAAACCATAGACGTGATTTTGAATTTTTTACGGTTTTTTAAAAACTACCACCAAGCGCACTTTTTAAAATGGGTCAAAAATGACATCTTCAGAGGCAAAAAACTCACCTTGGTATGCGTGATATCTAGCCAAAGTGTATACTAGGACAAAGTTCAGCTCTTATATTAACAGAATATGAAATAAAAAATCTGGGAACTCCAGATTCGCGTGCAAGCACTCTCTTTTTCACAGTGCAAGAGACGTGTCATTTCCGCCCTGTCACCCGTCGTGTAAGTGCTAATTGTCACAGTGCAAATTAGTTAGTAGGCGCAACAGTGGTCACAGGTACTGGACAAAAGCCAGACGTGCCTCGAAGTCCGGCACAAATGGCTCGATTTAATGGGGAAATTATGGATCTTTTTTTGAGCCGACCTCCCAGAGAGGAAGAAGAGGTTTCCCTCTTAGGCCGGAGCTGAAAGATTTGCAGCGGATTTGAATTTCGGCTTAAAAAACGGCATTCTTGTTGCGACTGGTCCAGGACCCCGACAGATCGAAGTGACCAGCCTTCACTTCGTTCTATGAAAGGAGTAACAGTGGTTACGCAATAAAGCCAAAAAACAGTAAAACGACAAACAGACACCAAAACGCAGTGGCAGGTAAGACTTTTTTATTCATTTCATTTAAGAAAAAGTAAGGTTTAGTGTTATTTAGCGTTCGCAGATCTCAGTAATATATTTCTCATACAAAGTCTCTTATATTTTCAACGGTCGCCTGTAACGCGACATCGGCGCGTCACCTATGTTATATAAATTACATTACAACCTTTTCTCGCAACGTGAGTTTGGGCCGCCCGTGGTCAGTCTTTTGGAATTGGAGCGGCCGGGAATGTCACATGTATTACGCAATGAGAAAGTCACAGCGATTTCTACACTGGTCATCAGGACAAGATTTGCTCGAAGTACTAAAACCTACACCACTTTTACCTCATGCCAAAATGCTGCTTGTTCCAAAACGTTTTTTTTTTCTGGCGAGTAGATTATGCTCTAGAGGGTTCTGTGTTTTAGACTGTTCACAGTCCCCTATTTTTTCGTGAGATCGTTGAGATATAGCACGTCTTACCGTTAATGACGGCCATCTTGATTTTCAAATGTACCGAGGGGGCGGGCGTGGGGGATTATAGCTCTAGGGGGAGGTGGGCGAGAAAAATAGAGGGACTGTAATAACATAACTGCAGTTTGTGTTCACGGAGCGCGTTGTACCAGCAACGCAGGCGTTTGATTGGTCATTAGACAATAGATGTTAATTTGCGTTGACAACGGGTTTAGTTTAAGTTGGAGACACTGACAAGTCGTTGACAAGTCGTCGTTTCTGTAAAATGCACGCTTTCATACCATAAGGTACACCTTGCGCAAACACACGAACGATTTTTGGTATTTTGCGGATGAATCACGTAAGCCAACATGCTTTGGAAGCAGCCCGGCCGCGGGAATGTTGTAACACAGTTTCTGCCAAACGAAACGAAATTTTTCTCGCTTCCTCCCAAACCGCCCCCTACCCCCTAAGTAGTTTTGACACTCACGCAAGATGCAGCCCGAAACGCAAAGTGCTCGATCTCGACGATCTTACGGAAAAATAGAGGACTGTGAACAGTCTATCTGTGTTTTGATTGAGCAAATGTGATTTTAGCCGCTTGTTTCACACTGAGAGGTCATGACACGCTTATTGATTTTCTGTGGTTTTTGAATTTCTGGTCTTCATGATTTGCCCTCTGATGCAAGAGCGTTTTCTTTGACCTCTTTTGAAGCGTAAAGCTCTTTTTGTCGCTAAATAAGGCTGTTAGGCTCTTTATTTTTGTCCAAGGCGCCTCAGCCTCTCAGGATCTGAATAACTGAGCGCTTTTCTTTCTAGTCCGAGAATGTGATGTTTTCCTGCAATGTTATATCACGCTGAGCCCAGCTCGTTAGTTTTTAAATTGTTTGCAGGATGTTGAACTCTCACGGATAGCGATTTACAGAGATGAATTTAGAAACGTGAATTGCAGCTTAAACTGAAGCTTCATCAGCTGTGGAGAATTGCATTGTGACTCAGTGACGATAAAAACAATGATATACTCCAGCTTGTTTTTCTCTAGACAATGCGAGTCTTTGGACTGGAGCGACTGTTTGGTTGTTTTGTTATTGTCGGCTACTCATTTCCGGAAGAGCGGTCACGCGCGCCTAATTAGGGGGTGTTTCTCATTTTCACAGTGTTTTCGGGCAGGCGTTTTCTCTTCTCTCTCCCCTCCCCCTTCCCGCTCCCTTTGACTCGCCCCATCTCCTCCTCTCTTATGGCGCTTTCGCGAGCAAATTGCGCGCTCACAGAAAAACGCCTGCACTGCAGGCTAACTCATTTGCTCCAAGATAATAGGGTGGTCCAGTCCAATACAGTATTTTCATATTATCAAGAGTTGTCAGGTTGCTGCGTGAGCTTATCCAATATAAAAGTGTCTGTCATTCCTTTCATTCTAGTTGTCTTACTTACAAGCTTATTTCCTATTGCGCTCATATAACGAGCTTGTCATTTTAATTACCGTAAGATCATCTCCGCTGCCCACCTGAGTTAATCAAGGTTATTGGATGCAAAATGAACTGAGTTATCACCTGGTTACTGAGGGTAAATCTTCACATACAGACATGTCACTGTTGGGATCGTACCCTTGCACAAACATCTCGGCGCCTACTACTTTAAGCATCACTTCAGCTACATTCTGTTCAGTCCTCTCCGTTGTAGCTGTAGTAGGAAATGTCCTTGTGTTTCTGGCAGTAATTATTGATCCGAATCGCAATCTACGATCGCCTTTCAATTTGCTTGTCGCTAACCTGGCGACAGCCGATTTAATAGTGGGTTGTTTTGCGTTACCAATGTCGGTGGAGTTCTACATTCGCGAGGCTTCTACAAAACAACTTATACTTCTTCCTCGAGATGACGCAAGACGTGTAGGAAGTTTCATCTCGTGTACGGCATCCCTTTTTAGTTTAGCTGCAATGAGTTTGGACAGATTCTTTGCCATTACTAATCCGATGGAATACAGAGCCTACAGAGCTAAATTGAATTCTCGGCGAGCCACAGTCATTTCCATAGTCATTTTGCTTTCAATATGGATTATCTCCATTGGGTTGCCCTTTCTGTATTTTAGTGTCGGCTATCTAAAATACCAATTTTTCTTCGCCATCACAGCTGTCGTGTCAACATTTGTGGTACTTTGTCTGACGTATGTGAAAGTTTTCAAAAGTCTTAGAAATCAAGTCAGGACTTGGGACAGTTTACATCAAGGCCCAGCGAGTTATAACCACATCAAGAAGAGAAAGATCAAATGGGAGAAGAAAGTAACTAAGACATTTCTGATCATGTTGACCCTTTTTATTTCCTGTTTTCTTCCTTCGTTGATCCTTATCCTGATCATAAGCTTTTGTGCAAGCTGTAACTGTGATTTTATTCACTGGGCGAGAGATTTGAACTACATCCTAATCATGGCTAATTCCAGCATGAATCCGTTTGTCTTTGCCTGGAGACTTCAGCCCTACAGAGACGCGTTTCTTAAGATACTAACATGCGGGGTTATCGTCCGAAAACAGCGATCAGTCTCTGAACAAATCAACATTTCCATGAATTCATCAAATCCATCTTCTTCTTAAGAAGGCGGTCATATTACATTCATTATATTGGCATTAAATTGAGCTCAAATCTGTTCGATTCACTGTTCCTAGCAACCTTAATTGCAGTGGCAGGTTTTGTAATTAAATCTAGCTATAATTAACATTTTGTAAAACGAAATGCACTAGCTACAGCCTCTCTCCCTTATCACCAAGTTGATATTTGAGAATAAGAGTTAAGTAGAAGTAATTAGAGATAAATATAATGCATTCGAAGGATGCAGAAAGTTTACGGAGGGGGTTAGTTTAGAAGAGTGGTCTGTAAAGCGGAAGGTCTTGGGTTTGATCGCCGGTCCGTGGCAGCTAAAAATTGGTCAAAAGTATAAAGCTCTACTGCTAAAAGAATTCCACCAAACCTTTTCATATTTTTAGTGAATGTTATCCTACCCAAAGACAATTTATTGTAACTATTTCGTTCTTCTACGAGGGGCAACACCAATACCCTTCGCCTTAAAATAACTGAGAAATGAAGGTAATAAAGCCCCCTGGCTTTGACTTGCAAATGACTAGATCTAGGTATTTCAAATCAACGGAGCGTCGGAACTGGATACGAGATTCAATATCGTCTCTAGTAAAAGACGCAAAAATAGTGTCCTCACGTGCTAAATTTAAAATGCATTAACAGACACTCGTGAATAAAAGTATAATTTTTGCGATATTGCATGTTATGATGCTCTGATGTCAGTATTGTTATGTTTTTGAGGTATGCAATACTGTTGTCGCTGATTTCTGCTCGATATTTGTTTAAAAACTGTTCCAGCATTTTGGCAAACAGCCTTTTTGAAAAAAAAGGTAATGTACCTTTAGAGTTACATAAAGGAATGTCAAAGATCATTATCACCGTTAAAATTAACTTCGGATCAGTTTGGTAAAGCTTGTTGTATCTAGAATTTCCGTCATTTCTAGGAAAAAGGGGGATCACTTTTGAAGTCGCTTCTTTCACGTGGGCGTTGTTTTGTTACTGATTTCTATTCGATATCTGTCCCAAATTAGACATGGTCAGAGAAGCTGGTATTTTGCTAAAACGAGGAACAGGGAACGTGGAACGAGGAATGAGGAACGGGGAAAGGGAAACAAATTGGAACAAAACCTAGTAACTTAACCCTTTGCCCTATCAGTAACTTCATTAGTCATGCCGGCTTTGTTTTCTCCCCATTTTCATTTTCAAATTTCCCGTTTTAGTTAAATCCAAAAAATCCGAGTGCCATAAATCGAGGCTACCACGAGGCAAATGTTAACACACCATAGGAGGCATTCAATTCAAAAAAACAATCACATAAGTGTTACTTCATCTATATTCAAAGCTTTTAAACGCACCACAGTAATCAACCAATGAAAACCTGCAGCGTCAGAAACAATGTTAAGAGCCCATGACCGTAAATATCGAGAATCGCTCGTCTTGCCAGGCTAAAAAATTGAAAATTCTGATAATCTGTTAGAAAAACCCCTTTGGGGAACTATCTTCGAAAAAAATATTTTTAACTTTTGAGAATCTATAGTTTTCGAGAAAATAAGGAAAAACGAAGATAGCTGTTTTTACCTAATTAATTATGCAAAAATTAGAGTAAAAATGATCGACTTTATCGCGATCGCGTCTGTACCGAAGCAAGATTCAAAGCTATAAAACAGAAATATTTTTGTTTTAAAGCATTCTATCTTTTCTTTCTTTCCATGGTAAGTTTTAAACCATAGACGTAATTTTGAATTTTTTACGGTTTTTTAAAAACTACCACCAAGCGCACTTTTTAAAATGGGTCAAAAATGACAACTTCAGAGGCAAAAAACTCACCTTGGTATGCGTGATATCTAGCCAAAGTGTATACTAGGACAAAGTTGAGCTTTTATATTAACAGAATATGAAATAAAAAATCTGGGAACTCCAGATTCGCGTTTGCAAAACAAAAAGTTTCGTGACCACAAGTGGCAAAATGTCACAAATTTGAATAAGTCAAATTTGTAGAGAAATGATGCCGTCTGACTTCTCTTTGTAGTTTCGGTACGTGGTTTATTAGAAACATAGTAGTAGGATGAAAGCTCCTTTTAATAAAGCTAAAATTAAGTAAAGGATCTGAAAAATCGATATCCCCGATAACAAACTAGGAATTATTTTGAATGAATAATAAAGCAATTAATGAATTCGGCTTTCGTAGGATATAAAGAATTAAGCAGATCTCGGAGGGTGTTATTCACCTCCCATCCGCCTTTGGCCTCGCTCACAAAAATGGTTTAGCGATCGCAGTGATTGATGGTTTCCATATGATCGCTGCGATCGCTGAATGAAGACCGAGGGAACCTGGGTCCAACAACATAGCTCGCGCCATTCCTCAAATTCAGCATGGCGGCTGTGAATCGTCGACTCCTACTAGTTTTGAGGCGTGTTTTCTTGTAATTATGGGTGTTTTTTGACCTAGAAGACGACAGGAAAGACAGAGAACTCATTTTCAGGACTTAAATCGTTCCAGCAGTCGAGGGTCACACAATGTAACAACATAGGCCTACATGTGAAGTAAAAATATTCTTGTATATGAATCTATCTCATGAGCTCAAAAAACACGTTAATTGCTGTCTCTACCATTTTGACGGCCGAAGATATCAATGATACGATCCATGTCATTGTTGACTACAGACTTCCCATATACGTTTCAATGTTAATTAGTGCGATGTTACTGACACGTTGTTGTCCCATGGTGCTGCGAAGGTACATGTAAGTTTTCATGCAACGCACTGAATGATCGTTTTGCAGAACACAATGCAATGTAGAAGGTACCATTCCAAAGATATGTACCACATAAGAAAACACTGAAAACATATCAAATAGATCAATCTTGTGCGATGATTGTCTCCGGCATTTCTGGAACAGTCATGTAGCCTAATCCGCGCACACGATGAAAACTCACGTATATATCTTCTGCTGGGCTTCGCCGTCGATTTTGTAAAATTTAGCAACGCGGGAGAAGCTTTCTTTATCAGGTGTTTCACTGTGACAGATGTTTCCTAAAGCACATAGTATTTACTGATCATTTGCACTAAACCTGAGCTCAATCTCGGACAGCACCTTGTCCATGGTTAACCTGCACCACGGACGAAACTCAACTCTAGTTAACTCCGTCTGCGAAACAGCTCTGGGCCTCCACTTGTGTACCAGGATTTGAGTACGGGCCATGACCGGCCTTTTGAAAAGCCACTATCGATTTGCCAATCAAGACGAAAGGAAATTTGAAACGCACTTCCGGTAATTCTGTGAGTCCTTGGGGGCCAGCACAAAGATATCGGCGATATCGGCTTCGCAGACCTTATAGTCTGCTACACGGCCGTTTTCAGTGTCGTCACGCAACGCTAGTGTGGAGGAGCGTTGCGTGACGACACTAAAAACGGCTGTGTAGAAGACTACAGACCTTACTACAGAACGAGGTTAAATTACGTCTGTGAAGCAGGCTATAGGGTGGTGCGGATTCCGGTGTTAGCTGCGTTTGTCTTTGCACGTGTTAACCTACAAGGGCTTCAAGGCTGCGCGATGGCGATTGTCTGTGTGCGCTGACTTTTCGTAATTCAAACAGCGAGAATTGGTCAGTCACTTCTTCATTTTCAGACCCATTGCTGATGCTTTCTGCCATACGCTGTTGAATTTTTCACACTACTGTCTCGTGCGAATTTAACTGGATTTACCACGCCGAATTTTGGGCTGCTGCAGCCCCCCTCCACCCCCCCCCCCCGGCCCGTACACCTATGGTGAGTTTACGCCTAGTCATGGCTTGTTGAGCGGGACTGAAATTGCAGCCTGCCACTCGGCTCTCTAAAAACAAATCGCCAAAGACGAAATTAATTTTAGATCAAGGATAAGAAAAGCAATTCTTTTCTTGAACGGCGGAATTAATGTTTTAAGAAAAATTTGAATACATGACATGAAAAATTAATGAAAATTTAAAATGGGACGTTCCATTTCGAATTAGCTGACATGACCGGCTGGCAATAACGCAAATGAGGGAGGCTGAAATATGCTTCATTCATTCAGCTCCTTCAACAGACAAAAGTTTTACGACGCTAATTTCTAGGGTATCGTGATCATTTAAAAAGTTCAATATCTTTAGTGAGGCAAAACTGTAATTAGGCAACAGACTGTCAAATAGCCCCCCTCTTATACAAACCTACGTACAGGAAATTCGCGATAATTAAGCGTTGTGAAATACGTATTCTTAAAAATCACAAATTTAAAGAATCATGAAGAATTCATAGTATTTATACGAAGAGGCCACTTCATGATAGACTTCGAGAAGTCCTTTATTATTCTTGGAAAAGCCGGAATGAGTCCAAAACGCGATTTTCACTTTTTATTAGCCTGCGTACAGCCGCCCCCTCGGCTGTACAGAGGCTACTTTACATATCTTATCGGCTTTTTTAACGTAATGCTGTTTTTAAATCAACACATACTGGAAAGTGAAACACCTATCTTGAAAGACATAGGTGACTGTATGGAGTTAGGTTGGTTTTGCGTTCTGAGAATTTACTTATCTTAGCTAATTTTCAATTTCCCGTGCGATGTCTAATAGCGCAATATATATTTCTCATAGCTCAAACTGATTTTCCAATTATAGCTTTTTAATCTCCAGTGCCTTGACTGTCACTCATTTGCTCCAAGATAATAGGGTGGTCCAGTCCAATACAGTATTTTCAATTTATCAAAAGTTGTCAGGTTGGTGCGTGAGCTTATCAAATATAAAAGTGTCTGTCATTCTGTTCATTGTCTTACTTACAAGTTTTATTTCCTTTTGCGCTGAAATGACGAGCTTGTCATTTTATATACCGTAAGATCATCTCCGCGGCCCACCTGAGTTAATCATGGTTATTGAATACAAAATGAACTGAGTTATCACCTGGTCACGGAGCGCAAATCTTCGCATTCAGACATGTCGCTGTTGGGATCGTACCCTTGCTCAAATATCTCGGCGCCCACTAGGTTAAGCATCACTTCAGCTACATTCTGTTCAGTCCTCTCAGTTGTAGCTGTAGTAGGAAATATCCTTGTTTTTCTGGCAGTAATTATTGATCCAAATCGCAATCTACGATCGCCTTTCAATTTTCTAGTCGCTAACCTGGCGACAGCCGATTTAATAGTGGGCTGTTTTGCGTTACCAATGTCGGTGGAGTTCTACATTCGCGAGGCTTCTACAAAACAAGTTACACTTCTTCCTCGAGATGACGCAAGACGTGTAGGAAGTTTCATCTCGTGTACGGCATCCCTTTTTAGTTTAGCTGCAATGAGTTTGGACAGATTCTTTGCCATTACTAATCCGATGGAATACAGAGTCTACAGAGCTAAATTGAATTCTCGGCGAGCTACAGTCATTTCCACAGTCATATTGCTTTCAATATGGATTATCTCCATTGGGTTGCCCTTTCTGTATTTCAGTGTCGGCTATCTAAAATACCAATTTTTCTTCGCCATCACAGCTGTCGTGTCAACATTTGTGGTACTTTGTCTGACGTATGTGAAAGTTTTCAAAAGTCTTAGAAATCAAGTCAGGACTTGGGACAGTTTACATCAAGGCCCAGCGAGTTATAACCACATCAAGAAGAGAAAGATCAAATGGGAGAAGAAAGTAACTAAGACATTTCTGATCATGTTGACCCTTTTTATTTCCTGTTTTCTTCCTTCGTTGATCCTTATCCTGATCATAAGCTTTTGTGCAAGCTGTAACTGTGATTTTATTCACTGGGCGAGAGATCTGAACTACATCCTAATCATGGCTAATTCCAGTATGAATCCGTTTGTCTTTGCCTGGACACTTCCGCCCTACAGAGACGCGTTTCTTAAGATACTAACATGCGGGGTTATCGTACGAAAACTGCGATCAGTCTCTGAACAAATCAACATTTCCATGAATTCATCAAATCCATCTTCTTCTTAAGAAGGCGGTCATATTACATTCATTATATTGACAGTAAATTGAGCTCAAATCTGTTCGATTCACTGTTGCTAGCAACCTTAATTGCAGTGGCAGGTTTTGTAATTAAATCTAGCTATAATTAACATTTTGTAAAACGAAATGCACTAGCTACAGCCTCTCTCCCTTATCACCAAGTTGCTATTTGAGAATAAGAGTTAAGTAGCAGTAATTAGAGATAAATATAATGCGTTCGAAGGATGCAGAAAGTTTACGGAGGGGGTTAGTTTAGAAGAGTGGTCTGTAAAGCGGAAGGTCTTCGGTTTGATCGCCGGTCCGTGGCATTACCAATACCCCGCGCCTTAAAATAACTGAGAAATGAAGGTAATAAAGCCCCCTGGCTTTGACTTGCAAATGACTAGATCTACCGGTAGGTATTTCAAATCAACGGAGCGTCGGAACTGGATACGAGATTCAATATCGTCTCCAGTAAAATACGCAAAAATAGTGTCCTCACGTGCTAAATTTAAAATGCATTAACAGACACTCGTGAATAAAAGTATAATTTTTGCGATATTGCATGTTATGATGCTCTGATGTCAGTATTGTTATGTTTTTGAGGTATGCAATACTGTTGCCGCTGATTTCTGCTCGATATTTGTTTAAAAAATGTTCCAGCATTTTGGCAAACATAGCCTTTTTGAAAAAAAAAGGGTAATGTACCTTTAGAGTTACATAAAGGAATGTCAAAGATCATTATCACCGTTTAAATTAACTTCGGATCAGTTTGGTAAAGCTTGTATCTAGAATTTCCGTCATTTCTAGGAAAAAGGGGGATCACTTTTGAAGTCGCTTCTTTCACGTGGGCGTTGTTTTGTTACTGATTTCTATTCGATATCTGTCCCAAATTTAGCCTGTGAACAGGCCTTTGGTCGAGCGGGGAAGGAGAGGGAAAAGCGAAAAGGCCTGTGGACAAGCCTTTGGGACCGCCGTTCCACGGCACCCGCTGTGCATCAGATCCTGATGCAAGTTCTTATTGGCGAGAACACTGACTGTTGAAAGGTCTGATTGACATCGGCTTTTCGGTCGGCACGTAACACGCGTTTGGAAATAACAAAACACTCCAAAGACTGTTAAGCTTGTTCAAAAGCTATTACCAAGGGAGGAACTACGAGCTCCAGTCAAAAGACTCACACTATCTGTGATAATTTTTAAACATTCTGCAAAGAAAACTAACGACCTGGGCCCAGCGTGATACAACATTTCAGAAAAACATTACAAGAAAAATCGCTTAGTTATTCAGATCCAGAGGTCACTTTGGAGAAAAGTACGACCCTTATTCAGCCGCAATAAAAAGCTTTACGCTTGAAAAGAGGTCAAAGAAAATGCTCTTGCATCAGAGAGGGCAAATCCTGCCGACCAGAGACAAAAACCACAGTAAATCGATATGTATGCCATGACCTCTCAGTGTGTGAAACCAGCAGCTAAAACCATATTTGCTCAGTGAAAATGTAGAACCTTCCAGAGCATAATCTACCGAGCAGAGGAAAAAACTTATGGGAACAGGCAAAATTTTGGCGTGAGGTAAACGCCGTGTAGGCCTACCGCCCTCTTTTATTGCTATAAATGCGGGATAAATACCCAAAGGTGTAATTCCTGTCGGCGATCGAAGCGCTGTTGATTTCTTTGTACTTGTCTTTGGAGGTTCACGTTCTGGAGAAGTCATGATAGTATCTGTACCTTTCGCATTCCAAGTTCGCTCATTGCAGGGGCTTGTTGAATTAGAAACTGAACTAGCAAGACGAACGGCGCGATGAGCACAAGTTAAGCAGCTTAAATCGGAAAAGCTTTCTCCTTGCACAAGAGGAAATCTTGAGCACTCAAATGCTTGCGCTAGTACAACGCTGTCTTGGCCACTGTCAACCAGCAAGGTCTTATTTCTTGAAACGCCAACGACCGGCACCGTATTAATTCTCTTACCGGAGATCAACGATTTTTTTCAAAATCAACAATTAGGCTCGCGGTCCATTTCACTTTGTTTTGAGTCGAAGCAAAACACGGATGTTTTCCCTTTAATTTTCCCAGGAGTTACTCACGCGCGAAATTGATTGACAGATAACGATCTTGCTGACAGATGTTCGGCAAGATAATTACAAGAGGGCGGAATAGCGGCCTCAAGCGTGTGTCTACAGGCTCTCTCCCCCCTTCCCTTCCCTTTCCTCGCTATTTTTTTCCCCAGACAGAGAGCCTGTTCACAGGCTACAGAAGCCACGACGTAGTCACCTGTTGTTGGTGACCATATATGGGAACCGTCGGTTTGATTGACAGCCAAAATGCAAACATCGCCTGAACCAATCGTCAGAAACAATGTTAAGAGCCCATGACCGTAAATATCGAGAATCGCTCGGCTTGCCAGGCTAAAAAATTGAAAATTCTGATAATCTGTCAGAAAAACCCCTCGGGAACTATCTTCGAAAAAAAATATTTTTAACTTTTGAGAATCTATAGTTTTCGAGAAAATAAGGAAAAACGAAGATAGCTGTTTTTACCTAATTAATTATGCAAAAATTAGAGTAAAAATGATCGACTTTATCGCGATCGCGTCTGTACCGAAGCAAGATTCAAAGCTATAAAACAGAAATATTTTTGTTTTAAAGCATTCTATCTTTTCTTTCTTTCCATGGTACGTTTTAAACCATAGACGAGATTTTGAATTTTTTACGGTTTTTTAAAAACTACCACCAAGCGCACTTTTTAAAATGGGTCAAAAATGACAACTTCAGAGGCAAAAACTCACCTTGGTATGCGTGATATCTAGCCAAAGTGTATACTAGGACAAAGTTGAGCTCTTATATTAACAGAATATGAAATAAAAATCTGGGAACTCCAGATTCGCGTGCAAGCACTCGCTTTTTCACAGTGCAAGAGACGTGTCATTTCCGCCCTGTCACTCGTCGTGTAAGT